ATCTGTTTTTATTATTTGGCTCACTCTGGGTTGGGTTATGGCACTGTTTAGGTTCAGTTCTGGCTAAAAAGATGTGGACCAGTTTTGGGCCGGCGAACACAAACTAATCTGGGCCACACTTTAGCTGTTGATATGGGGCAGATCCACGCCAAAGGAAATTTGCTGACTGGGCTCTCTCTCTCTCTCTCTCACAGCGCGCGCGCGCACACACACACACACACACACGGTGCACAAAACTCCGCATTTGAACAGTCAATGAATCAGACATGAATAACAGGAAGCTGCACTGAGTACAGGGCAGACAACAATAGCATAGACGGCTGCGCGGAGTAACTACTGTGCGAGGCAGCAACACACATCAATAGAGGTAGCATAAACGTGAATCAGTCACTCACCGCCAGCACTTGGGAGGCTAAGGACTGAACTTCCAGCTTGTAAAACCTGGGGAAGGTATTCTGAGAAGACCAGCCGGCTGCAAAGCATATATCTTGAATAGACATACCTCTCGACCACGCCCAGGAGGAGGCGATAGCTCTTGTTGAGTGGGCCCTAATGTGCAAAGGGCATTCCAAACCTTGGCTCGTATAAGCAGCCGTGATAGCATCCACAATCCAGTGGGAAAGTCTCTGTTTTGACACGGCCCGGCCCTTCGCACAACCACCGTAGCACACGAAAAGCTGGTCAGATTGCCGAAAGTTGGCCGAACGGTCAATGTAAATCCTCAAAGCCCTGACGGGGCACACCGAAGTCTGAGCGTCCGTATCACGCGAGGCTTGAATGGTGACTGTGAAAGAGCTCTTAACACCACCTCTAGGTCCCAGGGCGGGACTGAAGGCGGACGCGGGGGATGCAATCTCCTTGCTCCCTTAAGGAAACTCACCACCAGCTCGTGCCTACCGATCGATTGCCCGCCCAGCGGGGAACGAAACGAATCACCGAAGCCCCCTCCTCCCTGATCTTGCATAACACCAGTGGCAATATCTTGATTGGAGGAAACGCATACAGCCTGGCTGCTGGCCAGTGCGATGTCAGAGCGTCCCCTTCCAGCGGGGAGTGAGACAGGGTGAAGAACAGCGGGCAGTGCGCATTCTCGCTCGTGGCAAACAGATCGACCTCCGCTCTCCCGCAGCGGGCCCAAATCATCCGAACCGACTCGGGGTGCATCCTCCACTCTCCTTGAGGAATCCCTTTCCTCGAAAGCATGTCCCCCCCGCGATTCAGGAGACCGGGTATGTGCGCTGCTTTGATGGAGAGAAAGTGACGGTCCGCCCATAGCAGGAGATTCGCTGCCTGCTAGTACAGAGCACTGGCGCGTACGCCTCCATGGAGATTTATGT